AAATGCTGCAATTTGAATCCATAGTAAAACAACTTCTAACTCTTTCCTAATTAGTAAGGATCTTTCGATGAACAACAAGCCATATGAAGAATCTCACTTTTAAGGGACTTTAACACGCCAGAGCCATTTCCAGATAGGGTTCGAACCTCTATGATTGAGAACCCATAGCGGAAGCATAAGTTGTTTTCATGCTAAACTGCCCCATTGGTGTCTATTTCCAAGCAATTCGATCATCAACCTTAATATTCTGCAAAACTGAAATCGACTCCAGCAAGGAGCACCCTTCCACAGGCAGCCACGATCTGATAAGTTCCCACTTCCATGACAAACTTGCTGGATTTCAATAGACCAACTCTAACTCTTTCCTAATCTAGTAAGGATCTTTTCCGATGAACAACAGCCATATGAGAATTCTCATATTTAAGGGACTATAACACGACCAGAAGCATTTCCAAGGATCTTTCGATGAACAACAAGCCATATGAAGAATCTCACTTTTAAGGGACTTTAACACGCCAGAGCCATTTCCAGATAGGGTTCGAACCTCTATGATTGAGAACCCATAGCGGAAGCATAAGTTGTTTTCATGCTAAACTGCCCCATTGGTGTCTATTTCCAAGCAATTCGATCATCAACCTTAATATTCTGCAAAACTGAAATCGACTCCAGCAAGGAGCACCCTTCCACAGGCAGCCACGATCTGATAAGTTCCCACTTCCATGACAAACTTGCTGGATTTCAATAGAATTTTAATAGAATTTCAATGGAATTTGCTTGCCATTTCTTCCAGCTCATTAGGTTTAAATAGGCTGAAGTATCTCACAAATTTGGGAATAAATTCCTAAATTACCTCCCTAATTGATGCCCATTGACTCCTAAATTACCTCCTTAATTGATGGTCATTTACTGTTATCTTACAATAGTATAGTCAGCCTTAATTAGCTCCCTAATTGACGGTCAGTTACAGCTATCTTACAATAGTATAGTCAATTAATTATAATAGTATACTAACATCCCCCCTTAAATTATTGATGCTGGGCGATCAAGAAGCATCAATTTGCTAACGAGAAATTGATGACGCTGTCTTGTCATAGGTTTTGTGAACACATCAGTAAGTTGAAGAGCAGTGGAGACATGTGGAAGAGAAATGACACCTATATCTATAGCTTCTCGAATAGAATGACTGTCGACTTCGATATGTTTGGTACGTTCATGAAAAACTGGATTTGTAGCAATTTGTATGGCATTAGTGTTGTCAGCATGCAGAGGATAGAATGAGGCTGAGGAAATCGAATTTCAGTAAGTAACCCACGTAACCAAACAATCTCTGAGCAAGCAGCGGACATAGCCCGATATTCAGACTCGGTAGAAGATTTTCAAACACGGTCTTATTTCTTACTTTTCCAAGATATCAAAGAATCGCCAAGAAACATACACCAATCAGTTATAGAGCGTTGAGTGTCTGGACAACCGGACCAATCAGCATCACTGTAAGCAACAAGGCGTACAAGAGAGCTAGTAGGAAAGAATAAACCCTAAGAAGATAGCGAATGATTCGACGAACTACCACCAGATGTAAGTGACATGGAGTACTCATGAATTGACTGACTTGTTGAACTGCAAAAGAAATATCGGGCCGTGTAATAGTCAGATAATTCAAACTGCCAACTAATTGCCGATCAAGAGATGGATCAGGAAGAAGATCTCCGTCTTGACTATGATACTTGACATTTAATTCCAATGGAGTATCAACTGGGGATGAATCTTGAAGGCCTACTGAAGTAATCAAATCTATAGTATATTTGTGTTGATGCAAAAATATCCCAGAACAATCATAGTGAACTTCCAGCCCTAAAAAATATGTAAGTGGACCAAGATCCTTCATATTAAAAGAAGTTTCAAGAGATTGTTGGATATTGAGGATCGTTGATGTATTAGCGCAAGTGATACTGATATCATCTACATAAGAAGTAGAACAAAACCAGCAGAACTCTTATGAAGGAACAAAGAGGAGTCATATTTACTTTGCACAAATGAAAACTGAAGTAAGGTAGATCGAAACTTGTCAAACCAAGAATGTGGAGCTTGTTTTAGTCCATACAAAGACCTTTTTAACTTACACACATGTGTGGAAGATGAGGAATTCAAACCCAGTGGAAGTGTCATATAAATATCTCATACAAGACTTTTAACTAACACAACATGTGATGGAAGATGAAGAATTCAAACCCAGTAGGGAAGTGTACATATAAATAATCTCTTTTAAGATCACCATAAAGAAAACATTTTTGACAATCACATTGAATGAAGAAGGCCAACCCTGAGGAAGTGTCATATAAATATCTTCTTTAAGATCACCATGAAGAAAAACATTTTTGACATCCATTTGATGAAGAGGCCAACCCTGAGAAGCAGTAACTGCAATAATAGTATGGATGGTAGTTATTTTTGCAACTGGAGCAAAGGTCTCCTCATAGTCCACTCCATACTTTTGCTTATTGCCAAGAGCAACCAATCGGGCTTTATATCGATCCAAAGTTACATCAGAATGAAGCTTGACTGAATAAACCCATTTAAATCCAATGGGCTTAAAATTTGGAGGGCAACGAAGAATTTCCCATGTATGATTGTCGTGAAGAGCTTGAAATTTGTCCTGCACGGCTTTTCGCCAACATTCTTTCTTGGAGGCTTGTGAGTAACAAGATGGAATAGAAATATCAGATAAAGTGGCAGAATATCCAGTAGGATTATCAGGAAAACCATATCGTCTTGGAGGTCGAGATACTCTGGTAGATCTGCGCAGAGTAGATTCAGGAGAATCAGACATAGATGATGGATCAGTCTCGGGAAGAGGCACCGTTGATTGACGTCTTTCATACGCAAATCCATGTCATTGCTCTTGCATCTTTAACTATCCAGTGAAGCAACTCCTTAGCATCTTTAGGAGCTGGATCACTTCCATCAATATGATCCAACAATTCTTTTCCTGTAACAAAGAGCTGGAACTGAAATTCCCATGAAGAGTAATTTTTTCTAGTGAAACGAACATGAAAACTCTCAACTGCATTTGAAGTGGCCAGTCAAATAGCACAAAGAGACCAGAAATGCAAAATTAGTAATAACAAAACCAGGAGCAGGTCAACCAGAAGAAGTAGCAAACCCACCAAGACCTGCAGAATCAGAGGCAACAGAACCTGTACTTTGTTCTTCAAAAAAACAAAGTTGAAACTCATAAAAAAATGCTCTAAAATTGCTTAACCATGGCTCTGATACCATGACAAACTTGCTGAATTTCAATAGAATTTTAATAGAATTTCAATAGAATTTGCTTGCCATTTCTTCAAGCTGATTGGGTTTAAATAGGACGAAGTATCTCACAAATTTAGGAATAAATTCTTAAATTACCTCCCTAATTGATGCCCATTGACTCCTAAATTACCTCCTTAATTGATGCCCATTGACTCCTAATTATGGCTAACAATTACAGCCTTAATTAGCAGCCTAACATTACACCTTAATTAGCTCCTAATTTGATGGTACGTAATATACAGCTATATATTACAACAGTATATCAGCCTTAAATTAAACTCAATTATTGCATGGTCATTTACAGTTATCTTTACCAAATAGTATAGTCCCAATTTAATTATAATAGTAATACTAACATCGTCAATCCTCTAATTCCCTGAATTTTGTTACCAACTTCATCTGTATATAACATGTGCTATATAGATCATATATTAATTTGTTATGCATTTAATGTACATTAGTGAGAATTGTAGTATTTAAACCCATTGACTCCTAATTATGGCTAACAATTACAGCCTTAATTAGCTCCCTAATTGATGGTCGTTTACAGCTATCTTACAACAGTATAGTCAGCCTTAAATTAACTCATTAATTGATGGTCATTTACAGTTATCTTACAATAGTATAGTCAATTAATTATAATAGTATACTAACATTCCAATCCTCTAATCCCTAGAATTTTGTTCCAACTTTCATCTGTAATAACATTGTCTTATAGATCATATTATTTGTTGCATTAATGTACATTAGTGAGAAATTGTAGTTTTAAATGGTAAAATGATCATATTTTTTTAATCTATTGTATTTGGTGCCTATTTTAAGAATAAGAACATAGCATATTGTATTCAATCAATATCATCCGCTAATTTGATATTAACCCTTTATTTGGATGAGAGTATTTTTTTTAAAGGAATGAAAATAACTATGGAAAATATCTAGGAAGGATATTTTCCTTTGTTTGGAAAAGTGGAAGAAAATATTGAAGGAGGTAATATTTCACTTATTTTTCACCCGAGCCTACATGTTTTGAATATCTCCAATTTGGAGAGAAAATAATGGAGGTGTGAATTTTACTCATTTTCATTAAATTACCCAAATACCACAAATTAATTAATGAATCTCTTGTTAGTTATAGTCAAATTAATTTCTTGAAAATTATTTGAGTTTAAAATTTTAGTAAATCTTTGACAATTTTAATTTTAAATTTTTTTATTTGAAAATTTATCTTGAAGTGATTTGTTTATATTATTCAGGGTGCTACAAGATTCTTTTGTCAAAGTTCAAGGGTTAAGTTATGCATTCCACCATTTTGTACCATATCAATAAAATTAAAATGTTCAACCCAACCTAACACATAATGCCATCCGCTTTTATCATGCCAGAAATATAATTTAACTCCCAAACTTTTATAAAAAAATCTTGTGGCTTTTTGAATTTCGAAAAGGACTTTGTGGTCTCCTAAACTTTACTTGTTGACCTTACAGTAATTTCAAATCTCACAAATTGAAAATTATATCAGCTTCAGGATGTATAAGTACAAAAAAAATGAAGTTCAAGAGCTAAAAGGTAAAGTTTATATGCAACAAGGTAAAGGTACTAAAGAGCTCATTTCACAATCTATCTATAAATATATAGATTTAGTTTGGTAGAATACATTCCATGGATTGATTCAATTTAAAATTTTTTTTAAACCGCTATTACAGGTTTAGTTTGGATAAAACTTTAAACCAAACTAAACCGAACTATGAACATTCCAACTTGTAGTTACCTAATGAACATCTTAAAAATATATATATCTCTGAATAGTAGCTCAAGCGATAAAGTACATTTCAATTCAGTATACGATCTCTAAAAAGTCAATTGCTCGGTTCAAAAAGAGTTCTGAAATGAGTTGGTCTCGTATCTGAGGGGAATACATAACTATTTCTTCATTCTTCATCAAAATGGATTGCATAAGAATTAGTATACTCTTATGTCAAAGTCAAGAAACTGAACAAAGCATTCGAAGTATCAAAACAATATTCCTGGGACAATTTCTTCATAATTGATATGGGAAACAGGCAAAGCCCTCTACTTTGTAGGTCTAAAAGTCCATCATCAATTTCCTGTCACAATTAATTTTCTAAAGTCAATGGGATTAAAAAGAAATTAGCAAAAATATTCATAAATTTTCTTCTTTTTTTTGAAAGATATTCATAATTTCATTAAAATTAGTTAATATAGTGTTGATATTTTTTACCTGTGAGAGGCACGAGCTATCTAGCATCTGAAACGATTTCTGTACAAAAAATAAAAATTCAATATCAGATTTAATATTCAAATAGAAATTTAAATACTACATATATATTAAATCCTTTTTTGTTTAATACTACAAATTGAATCAAACTGAATAGTGTATCAAACTTAACCAAACAAATTCAATTCTTTTTAACTATTTTTGGATTAATAAAAATCAAACCGAACTAAAAACATTTCGGGTCATTTATATTAAAAACTGAAACCAAACCCATTATATAAAAAGCTGAACAGAACCAAACCAGTTCGGTTTGGTCCATCAGTTCAGTTTTATTGAACTTTGCTCAGTCGGAGAGAAAGAGAGTTTATGTACCTGAATCTGTTGTTGAAGAAGTTTGATACAAAGAGAAGCCTCTTCAAGAACGGAGGCAGTATCTGTCTGCAATAAATTAATAATGAAAATTCAGCATTCTAAATTTATTTGGTAAAATTACAATTTTCCATTTGAGAAATAGAATATTAAACAATATGATATGACCTTGCCATATGGGGAGACCAGTTTTTGCAGAGCAGTGATTTTGTCACTTAGCTTTTGGCTTCTCCTCACAGGCACCTGCAAATGCATCTCCAAGTAACTAAATTCAAAAATATGGATTTGAATATAATTAAATCAAATTCTATAAAAAAAAAAAAAAAGTGAAATTTATAAATGAATTTTACAAACTTAAACAACTCAGAATTTTATAATAAACAATTATTCATCTTCCTGCCTTTCTAAACTTATTAACAAATGAGTTTTCAATTTTAAATTTATTTATAAATAATTCCATATTTTAAATTTATTTATACCAGACCTATCTAAATTTCATTTTGAAATATACGCATAAAAAGGTCAGAAATGGAGTATGATGACAATACACATGCAGTTGGTACCTTGTGGTTTTTGATATTGTTTGATTCTTTTAGTTGGTGATTGCATTGTAGATCACATTCACAGGAAGTGGTGGGCTTTCGTCTCTTGTTATCATTCCATTCATTAAAAATTGTTCTATTTTCAATGAGATCAATTGATCGCTTCCTCTTTGGCGCTATCCAAAAGTCCTAAAATAATAAACTTTAAGGTAATCATAAATGTACTTATCATCAACAACTTTATCATTAATTAAATATTAATGATTTAAATTTATTAATTAAGATTTAAGTCAACAAAAATAGATAAATTAAATTATACAAAAATGAATTGCATAAGCAGTGATAGACAATTTAGCATAAAAGCATGTACACGTACGCTACAAAAGGTCTTATATATCTATTTTATTTATCATATCAATTTATTCAAATCTAAATTAAAATTAGTCATTTCATTAGGACAATTATTTTGGAAAAGCAAATTTTAAACTTTTAAGGGACCAAATGTAACTTTTTTGTATTTTGAAGTATTAAAATATAACTTTTCATAAGAAACCCTGTTTTTAATTTCCTGTGGGCCACACGACCCTCTTACGCCCTAATTGAGCTCCGCCCCTGCATTTGGGGGCTTAAATTCAAGTTGTTGATAAAACTTCAATTAGCTAGTTTCAATTTCACAGTCTACAGCAACATAATTTTTATTAAATATTTCTGTTTAATAAACTGTTATATAATATAATCAAATGTATTTCTACTATAAATTTATAATGGAAACATTTTATTGTCAAATGGAAAATAATATTTCCTCCGTTCTTTTTATACTGTAATAACTAATTTTTCAAATTGTGTTCATTTAACCTTCTAATTGTCTTAAGTTATTGAAAACGTATTTTAAAATCATGAATTTTTCAAACATTCGAGCAAAGTCCTTAAGGATTTCTTTCATTATGGTCAATCTAAAAAATTTGTTGCATTTTTCTATTCAAACTCCATTTTACTCAGCACTCAAATTACCTATATGAGCATTTTTTTTTTCAACGAAAATTGAAGTAAAAAACCAATTTTCAAGAATTTTTCACATTAAATGTTCATATATACTTTTGTGTGTTACTATCTTGAGAATACCTCACTCTAAAAACTTCACAAAGGACTAAAACAAGGGTAAAATAGGTTTTTTATATTGGCATGGTTTCCAAAATTACCAAATTAAGCAAAATTTTTATATAAAAAGAACACCCAAAATAAAAAGTTTTCATATATAAAAAGAATGGATAGAGTATTTATTAAAGAATCAGTAAACGACGGAAGAGTATGATCAACTTCAAACTCAAAATTTATGATACATGAAGTTGCAAATTAAGTTAGACTTTGTTAGTGATATAAATTCATGACAAAGTTAAAATCATTTATACCGATTCCTCCGGAATAGAAGCATTCTTGTTCAGTAGTGTAGGCTGTTGTGTACTGTTCTCCCAACTACATAATGTAAGCTCAAAATCTACGAAAAAAGAAAGAGGAAAAAAAAAACAAACAAACGAGGTGTAAGTAGTCAGCGGTCAGCAAAATTGGGTAAAATTGAATAAAATTGATTCAGTTTAATTCAATTCGGTCTTTTTCAGTTTTGGCTAATAAAATTGCAAATAAAATGTTCAAAATGTGAAAAATTCATAGAAATTAATTTCAAGAAAATCAACGAACGTGATTGGTAGTATCGATTAGGAAATGCAAAATTGCCATCAACATTTGACTCCAAACAAAAGTTTTCCATAAGAACATCCGAAATTGGAATCTGGACTTCATTGTTCCCTGAAACAAACAGTCCAAATGCAAAATGTTATATACATCATTAGAAAAAGAAGTTCAATTATTTGAATTCTAATCCATAGTGATGCCAAAGTTTAAACTTAATTTGCTTTTTTTGTAGGTCATAAATTTAAGGGCTTAAATCCAAAAGCGTATCTAAATTGATTGAAAGTGAGATTTTTATTAAAATGTATGAAGTTTCACATTCTATCATTTTGTCGTGAAATAAAATTTATGGAATCATAAAGTAAATTGGAACGAAATTAAATAAAATTTTATCATTAACAAAATAACGATGAAATTTGAGAAATTTTATTTATTTTTTCTTTTAAAATGGTGGAATTAAGGTCAATTAACCGAATAAAATGATCTTGATAAATCATAATAAAAAAAAGAATTACAACTAATTACCAAAATTGTAAATTTGAGAGGACAAAACTTGTGGAAGAACAACATTTCTCATTTTTGGACCAAATAGTACATATAAATCAATTCTATATGAAGAGTTATTATATATGAACCTGCATACAGAAGAGAAAATGGAATTGGTTAGTTCGAAAACCTCAACTGTTATTTGGAAGAAAATATATAATTAATGAAACATATATTGCATATGGGTATGAAGCTTTCTCACCTCTATCTGAAGCACATAGAGAGCTACAGTAGGAATCTTTTGCTTTCTCGGAAACCAAACACTTCTGAGTAGAGAACTTCGTATTGTTTCTTTGAGAGCAGCAAACGGCCCTTTATATAAATTGCATGAAAGGAATATTAAACGTCCATATGACTCATCACAAGACAAAAACAAAGGCTTTTTGGATTGATAGATAGGAAGGGCGGCTTTCTCTAACTGACAACGTATCTGTTTTTTTAGCTTTCTTTTTATTTTATTTGTATTATTATTATTATTAGTAGTAGTAGTAGTAGTTGAATTAATTAGGTCAATTGGATAATTAATTAGTATGTTTTGACTAAGTAATCATGTCAAAGTTAATTAGGAATCAACTTAATTCATAATAATGGGTTAAATCATTAAAAAAATTCCAAATTTTGTAGGTAGTTTTATGATGAATATATTATTTTTTATTTTAATATTGGGTACAATATGAAATAATATTTTGTTCATTAATTGTACTCGATTTAATAAATAAAATATTATTTTTTATTTTAATATTGAGTGCAATTTGAAATTAGAGTGCTATTGCAATTATAATTGAAGTTCAAAATACTAGGAGAATAAAATTGAATTTGGAGTACAATTAAAACTATCCACAAAATTTAAGGTATTTTCTGACTAAGCCATAATAATGTGACGTCATGAAATTGCATTTTTATTTGTTATATTCAATAAATATGAATTTCTTTTTTCAATTTGATTAAAATTAAATTATCCATTATGAAAATATAAAATTCATTAATAGAAAAAAATACAGCATTTTTTAGTATGACTCAACGTTTGTTTGCTAAAATTGATGGAATCAAATCAATTTGGTTAGATTTTACTTTTGATAGAAAATACTGAAATTTTTTTATCAATTTAGTTTATTTTTATTTAACTTAAAAATAAATTTAAATCCACCAAATCAAATTCATCAAATCAAATTAGTCCAAATACATAAAACTGCCACTCAACGATACATCTTTAACCTTATAATATTTTGAACTTTGTCAATGACATCAAATCAAATTAGTCCAAATATTTTGAATTTGAAGATTTTAGTTAATATTATACATTTTTCCATACTGATAATAATAATTTTGAAGATTTTTAGTTTTTATATGCAAGATATTCAATTAAGGCTAAATCGTTAAAAATATCCTAAACTTTACAGATAATTTTAATTATACCCTAAATTTAACTTTTTTCTTCTAGTATCTGAACTTCAATTTTAGTTATAATAGCACCCTAATTTCAAATTGTACCAAATTTGATGAATAAAATATTATTTTTATTGGATCTATGCTCTCTCTTATGGTTAGATTAACTAAAAATTCACTCTTTAGTAATGCCCTAACTAATATAGGTTAAGAATTTAAAATCATAAAAAGCCAAGTAAAATAATAAATTTTAGTTAGTTATAAGCATAAAATATTAGTTTAGACTTTTGTTTTGCCATTTCTTAAGCATAGAATTCATTTATACTCATATTAAATTTCTTATAAAAATAAATTTTATTGATTAAGGTGTCATTTTATTTTTAGGTAATCATTACTTATTGTCAATATTATATTAATAAATAAAATATTTTATTTTTAAGATGAATAGATTATTTTGTATTTTAATATTTATATAATCAAATATAAATAAGTGATGGGAAGGAGTCCAATTTAAGAGAAAATTGGGTCCCATAAAAATAATATTTTATTTAATAAATTGGGTAAAATTTAAAATTAGGGTGCTATTGTAACTAAAATTAAAATTCAGAATACTAGGAGAAGAAAGTTGGATTTAACTACCCAAAAAGTTTGAGGTATTTTTAATTATTTTGCTATTGATTTATATATAATTAACATAATTTTTGGAATAATAATTTTTATTTAATGGATGTTTAATTGATTTAATTTTATAAATTCAAATGGTCAATAAAATAATTCTGCAAGTTAAAATATTCAATTGATAAAATTTATAAATTAAAATATATAATGAATCAAAATAAAAATTAAGGGTGATATAAAATTAAAGTAACGAATTTATAAATTTATAAATTCATGCAAAAACTGATTTCAAACAGGTCAACATTCAATAAATTATTAATAAATAATTTTCCAT